TATATCTTGCCTGTTCTTTGTTAGTCTGAAAGAATAATTATGAGTGGCCAAGGCAAAATATGAATTCATTTCTTCGTAACTCTGCAATGCAAATCACCTTTTTTCTGTGCTTAAAATTGCCATGCAAATGGTTGAGTTGGTTTTGATACACACATCTCGAATTTCTCTATCTGCTCCCATTATCAGATGACTGGCTCACCAGCATTTGTTGATTCTGCTACTTCTTTTATGATAATCAAACATTGGGCTTAGCACTCCTTTTGCACACTGACTTTATAGATGTTGCGTAAGCACTGCAAGCAAGATAAGGGCTAATGAGGCTTAGCTGTATATAGAATTTTCTTAAGAAACAGGTACTAAACTTTTAGAGACTGCACATAGGCAAGACACATTCTGGTTCTGTAAAGTTCTGGATGGGTCAGAGTGGGAGACAAATTTATCTCTAAACTAATTAGACTTTTTCTTGCTATTGGGAAGGTGAAGAAATTTTAGGGACTATTGAAATGCCCGTAGTAAAGTTAGGCTGCAGATAGATAGGGTTGGAGCACCACTGGCCTCAGTCAAGGAACAGTGATGCAGTGTCAAGGGCTTTGTATGTTGATACACATTAGAAGATTTCTTTGCAGGCACAGGCCATGACTTTCCTATGTACTCCCAGAGTTAACCATACAGCAGGACAAGATCTGGTATGTAACACATGGGCAACAAATACAGCTTCAAGGGAATCTGATTGTTTAATGTTTCTCCATGTAAATTGTGCATTTTGGGGATACTTCTGTACTTAACTCAGTGATGGTCTCTTCTTTTCCTAATGCTACTTTTTACTTTCTAATGAGATATATGAAGCTTCCCTGGTGGCTCAGCTGGTAAAGAATCTGCCTGCCAATGCAGGAGACTTGGGTTTTCTCCCTGGGTTGGGCAGATCCCCTGGAGGAGGAAATGGCAACCCACTCCAGTATCCTTGCCTGGAAAATTTCATGGACAGAGGAGTCTGGTGGGCTACAGTCCATGAGGTCGCAAAGAGTTGAATATGACTGAGCTTGCATGCATGCTAGCATGCATGTAAACTGAGCATTTTAGTTTGGATACTTCTGTACTTAACTCAGTAATGATCTCCTGTTTTCCTAATGCTACTTCTTATTTTCTAATAGGATATATGAAGCAACTTTCCTCGGCATGCAATCTTTCTTTCTTCTTCCTTAGTTTAAATTAACCTTCTGTGTCCTGGTCTTAAAAGCTCATTTGAAAAAGATGGCAAGTTCCCTTGGCCGATGAGGCCTCTGTGGGCCAGGGCACATCAGAGTCACTGCCGGTCATGAGCACACGTGCGATATACCACTGCTTTCCAATTTGAAAGCCATAATTTAGAATTAAGGGTTAGCAGATGTGGGGGACTTGTCACCGATAGAATGGTGTGCTTCCATTCTGCTCTGAAAGTCACATTAATATAGTTGGGGGTTTCTTTGAAAATGTAACTAGCTTGTTCAAAGCATAGTAACTGCTTGAACCACTAAATGATAGCTTCCTCTTAGGGTTTTATTTTGAAAGAACATTCTATCTCAGCTGCAATGTTGAGGGTATATTCTATCTCAGCTGCAATGGCTGAGGAGACCTGGTCTTTGTTTTGCTCCTATTTCACACGTCTCTGTGGGAAAAGGGAAAGTAGGAGGTGAGCAGAGCAGTGTGACTGTGGAGAGATGGAGCAGTAGGTGTGTGCCTGTGTGTTCATGTGTGGGGGCTCCTCTCTGCCTCTCTAGATCTGGATCCTGTTCTAAATTGGCAGGCTCTCAAGTGGGGTGTATGTTCCCCAAGGAGGAAACTGGGCTGCAAGAAAAACATGATAATATTTTAATTTATATTTTTATCTGAAAAATAAAAAACCATGTTAAGCAGTCTAATGCTTAATATAAGGAACAATAGTGGGTGATGCCCATATTTGGGCTGCATATCAGATAATGTGTCACCTGTCACAGTTGGGCATGAGGTCCCTGGGAAAAGAGGAGACCACATGCATTCAAGGGACTGATGGCATCCCATCAGTTTATTCCCTTCGGGTGTCTTGTACATGGTTAAATTTAGAAAATTAAGATCTTTAAACAGTTAAAAAAAAAAAATTTTTCACAAAAAATAAAAATACTTTGTAACGAGACCAAGAATATCAATGAAATATGTTCTATATCACACAGAGTTTCATTGGTTACCTTGCAGCAAACTTGTAGCAGTATAAAGAAGTTGCTATTTTCAAAGATGAATCTGACAATTTCTTTTACTTTGAGAGGATTCTAAATATTTTCACCTTCTTGGTGCTGTCAATAGGCTGTCTGTAATGTTACCTTGCAATTGTTAAAAAAATGAAAAAAGCCCTTAACCAAGATTTTCAAAAAGAAGTATTCAAATGCAATCACTTGGTTCTCTCTGAAACATTATTAAAAATATTAAAATTAGTATAAAATTTTGATGACAGTGAAAATATTTTTGTTTCAATAATACAGTTAAATGAAATTTTGATTTTGAGACTATTATTTATTTCAGATTTGTCTCAACTTTTCAAGTTTACATTTTAAAAGTGCACATATTCTAAATATGTATTTACATGGGGATAATGTTCAAAATTATTTTACTGATATCACCTCATGATCAAAAGTTTGAACTGCTTAAAAAAGTTTTCCTTTGTTTTTCTAGGCTCCTGAAGACTTTATTTACTGAGTATTTAATCCTTGAGGAATTTAGCTTTCTATGCATCCATGGCTTCAGAAGTCATTAAAGCTTCTTGAAGACGGCAGTGTTCTTCTTTGTACCCCTCATAATGAAGAGAACTATAGTTTCTTTCTCATAGTAGATGCTTGATTAATATTTCCTGTTGGGTTGTTTCAGCTTCTAAACCCTAGAAACCAAAGCCTAATATCATTAATCTTCATATTCCCTAGAGCACCTTGAATTGAATTGCATACAATTCCAAGACAGTCAAAAGAGTGTTTCATTCATGGAGAGCCTCTGGAGTGGGATTTTATGCTGACCTCCATGTTTTGGAAAGGCAGTTCTGAGGTCCTGGTTCCTAGGTTTTCAGAATCTTTGACTATTTAACCACGGGGTTAAAATGCCAGTCCTTTCATGAGCCTGGATTTTGGACAAACCACCTACAGTTTTGGACAGATAAAGGTGGTGGTGACTAGCCTCCAGAGAGAGACTAAGCCACTAAGCCAGGTTGCTCAGAGAACCTCTAAGAAAGGGAACCAGGACTTCAGCAGGCCTGAGAAAGCTTGGTGAAGGGAATGAGCTCAGAGATCAGAAAACAAGAAATAGGGGCAACTATATCAACCTCAAAGTGAACTGTGCATATTATTAGTAGGAATTGCCCAGGATGCATCTACAGGAGAATTTTAAGTCTGGGCATTTTTCTGAGAGTGATACTTAACAGTCAGAGGGGCTTGGTGAGGTGTGAACTGAGAGTGGCAGCACTCATTAACTGAGGAATACTAGAGCCGTTTAGCCTGACTCTGTTCAATCAACTTTGGTTTTCGTATGTTGCATGTGGCTCAAGCCCCAGCAGACTGACTAGACAACGTGAGAGGCTGGATAGAAGTGCAGTTAATGCCAAAAAGTTTGACGCTACATCTGTTGAGTCTCACAGCATGCCAGGTGGTCACGCGGCGGGGGTAGCTGCACCCTCTCAAAGGGCTCTTTATTTCTCTTTTCTTTCCTCTCAAATGTGGCAGAGCAGTATTCTTAGCTGTAAATACCATCACTTATATAATACTCCAGCTATTGTAGATACGTGTTCATAAGTGATCACGAGAGATTTTCTTTCTCTCTTGTAAGTTTTGAAAAAGAAAATAGAAAAACAAGGAAGAACAAAGAACAATGTAACAGACATGATCTTATGAAAATTTTCACATTTTTAATATTTAGGCTTGGATGAAATAAATCCTTATTGACCATGCTAGAACTTTAAGAATTAGATCAAATGGTTGGTATTCATGTTTTGTTTTTCTATTTGGTCTTAATAATTGCATATGTTTACTTAAAACTCAGACTTTTATTTACAATCTGATAGAAAACACATTGACCAGGACATTAGGAGAATGAAGTCCTCATCTTGATTTTTCACACCTCAGTACTGTGCCTTCAGACATATCTCTCAATTCCTTGGCAGGACATTTACTTAGGAATAAATATGGTTCTGTAAGAATAGTTATACACCTCCAAGCCTTCTCTGTTCTAGGTAAAATGTCCTCAATCCCTTTATTTATATCATATGAAATTAATTCTAGACTATATTGCATTTGATTACCCTCCACTGGAGATTTAATCATCTGACAAATCTCACCTTAAATTTTGTTGCCCAGGATGGAACTGATTTTCCAAGTATGAAGTGATGAATGTGTATGGCACTATACTTAATGTGAACTACATAAAAACAAACAACCAAAAAGCCTCCTTTTTTTTCTTCCCAGCAACATCACATGGTTGGTTCACATTAAATGGAAGCTCAATTAACTCTCTTAAACACTTTCATAAGTTTGGCCACCAAACTTGGCCATTGCTACATGGAATTGGTTTTTGAGCTTAAATGCAAGCCTTCTATTTAAATCTGCAAAATTTAATTTGACTGGTTTTAGTCTATTGTGAAAGTCTGGAATCTTATTTTTGTTTTCTCAGAGAGGGCCCAGGTTTGTGAAGTTTCCAGAGAATCTGAATACCCACAGTCAACTTTTGCTTTAACCCCTTCTAAGCATGATTTGTGTGACTCAAATGCATATGCTATTTTTCTCTTTATTGAAGTTTTCAAGAAAAGATGTCAATTTGCACAGTGAAATATCCCTGAAACAATTTATACCCATTGCTTTAGACTTTCACATATGTTTGTGTCTGGTTAGTAAAGGAAGGGTGTACCACAGAAACAATAACTTTGCATAGCCCCCAGGTGTATGCCCAACTCTATTATGTCTGCCAGAAAGGATATTGCATCTCATGTTGGAGAGGGAAAAGAGAAGTCTTACATTTTTCTTTTATCCAGAGGCAATTCTCCAGCCCTAGTGGGAAAAGAAAAGACAAAAACAAAACAATGCTAGTTGTGGTTCCAGTGCTTTCCAGTTTCTGCTGGAATTCATTCAAATGAAGTCCTCTCCCTAAAAGCCAGAAAGGACTCTCATTTCAGTGTTAATCATTCTGGTACCCTGTACATTGCTTGTGTCTCTCTGATGGCACATCACACAGGGTGTCCTGTTTTAAGATTATGGGATTAATCTGCACTTATCTCTTGTTTTAAATTGTTTTTTCTTAAGGCACAAGGACCATATCTTAGCCACTCTTGTTTATTCTTAGAACAAATAGGGTCTGAGCCCACTGCTGTGCTCGGCACTCAGATCGAACTCCCTCAGGCCAGGCCCTAGCACGGAGCTCAGCTCACTTACTTGAAATGGACAATCCACGTGCTTCAACCTAAACCAACACTTACCATCTATTTTATAAAATCTGTGTGCAAAATAGAAAAGGACTTATTGAAGGGGGTCCAAATCACTGTAAATTAAACTAGATCCTCACATATTTCAGCTGTTCACTACTCTCCTCAGAGCACCATTAGCGGTTTGGAGTATCCAAGCTACGATCACAAGCACTGAAGTACTATGAAGTACAGACTGAACTCCAAACCACCTTATAGGAGAAGTGAAGCTTTGCTGAAAGAAACAAGTTTAGAATTTATTAAGTGCCATTAAGAAAACAAGCTTGAACATATAAGTCCACTGATGAATTAAAACTATGGTTCCCTGGAAAAAGGAGACAAGTACATGTTATATATTGATTATATAACACCAGAAATCAGAGTGACAGAGACAGAGGATGGGTGGGGAGAGGAAAGGTCTTCTCATGGCTGAACATCTGGATCAGAATTATAATGGCTTATTGTGGGGAGTGGTCATATGCTCTCTTGGCAAATTATCTATACATTTAAGTTCTGAGCACTAAACCAATAGGTTGGGTTTGTTGTTATTATCTTTTTTTTTTTTTTTTCCAAATAAAAGCTTGGATAGACACAAGGCAGCAAATATTTCTTCCTCAATTTAAGATTTGACAATTTAAAAGGAAAACACTCGTTCATCATCTTTTCCTTTTAGAGACCATAAATTATTGGCTCATATACCATGTGGCTTGGATTCTAGGAAAAGTTAGTGTAAACAAACCCAAGTTACAATGCGTGGAGTAAGAGAGTGAGTCATAAACAAAACACAGACATATGCTCTCATATAAATAAGGGCCTGGATCATCAGCTTCCCAAAGTCTGCTTCCCATTAATTACACAACAAAATGAACTTTCCATATGTAAAGCCCAAATCACTTAACTCTAGCAACTTGCACAAGACAAAGACCAGGATTGTACCTAAAAGGCACTGACAAAAAAACTGAATTTCAAAATAATGAAAGTCCTCTCAGAATATCTTCAGGTATTGGAGGGCAAGAAAATCCCTTGGAGGAGTGTGTCTGAGCACTGAAACCATTCCCAACAACCCAGGAACACTGCTTGAGGCTGGTCTGATCCCCTGCTGAATTTAAAGGTATTATCAGGCTTACTCTCTTTTGTTCTGAGCTCTGTCATCTTTATGAAGCAAGCTCTGGGTCCAGGCCACACAGGGTGTTCACAGACATTGCTGCAAACACTGAAGAGTTGAAATTCCCTCCATCAGTACCTTCTCACTGTCCTTTGAAATTGCCCATTGGTAGCACAGATTCACGTTTCCTTATTGGTGTATGAAGGCTATCTGGTTTCTCTTAATTTAAAGAGGTTTCAAGGAAACACAGAACAGTTCCTAGGGAAGAGGATTCTTGAACAGGTGAGGAGCTCTGAGAGAGATGGTGAGCAGCTAAGTTCTCTCCTTGTGTCTCTTTGAAAAGTAGACCTCAGAGTGTATATGCCCAGGAGTGGGATTGCTGGGTCGTATGGCAGTTCTATTTCCAGTTTTTTAAGGAATCTCCACACTGTTCTCCATAGTGGCTTTACTAGTTNGGAAAAAAAAAAAGAAAAGTAGACCTCATAAAACAAACTAACAACATTACTTACAAGGGACATTAAAATAACAGATGTCACATTTTAGGAGTCTTGGGTGGGGAAGAGAGAAGAAAAAGAAATTTTATTCTTTGCTGAGGGTGTAGTGGGGTGTATGTGTGTGTGTGTGTGTTTAATCATTAATTTACTCAATGATTGTTTTTGTAGCATTTACTCTTTGTGTCATACCATAGACCATAAAAGGTAAGTGGACTGTATCATCTCTGCTCTCATATGAAACTATAGGAAAGAGGGAGAAACTATTTTTGGAGAACCTACAGTGCAGTCTGCAGTATTTCACATATTTCCTCATTTAATTGTGATCACAACCAAGTGAAGACATTACTATCTCTATTGTACAGAGATGAAAACTAAGACCTAAGAGATTAAATAATTGCTCCAAGGGACACACAAGTCATGGATTCATGGATTCAAGCAAGGGCTGCCCTATTTCAAAGTGAGTTTCATACCATATTTCCTTACTAAGAAAGCAAAGACAAGGAACTGGACAAGGAGAAATCCTGGGTTTCCCTGGTTTTCCTAACTTCAAAGGCTTTTTCCAACCCCCCAAATTTCATAGTTAAATAACACAGGTATTAATACAGATCACCTGTTCTACTTCTGCTAGAGTAGGTCTTCTTCACATTGTTTTGGTTCTGTTGCTGTCTCAAAGTCACATTCCTTTAAGGGTTCTGTATAGGGACCCAGAGAGCCAATACAATGAATGAGGTTAACCAGGATTTTGAAAGAAGGTGGGGGGAAATAGAAGAGGACATGGAAAAATAATGAGAATATGGCTCATCCAATGGGACAAATATTATTCTGTATCAATCATTGTTTTCAGGTAGGAATCTGAGTCCAAATTTATGAGATAATCTGGTTTCCAAAAAGCCAGAACTTTTATTATTATGTAAACCTTCGGATGTTGAAAATCTACAAATTAGCTTTTTTAAAAATGTATAAAGCTGTGTAGGTCAATTGAAATACAACTGCAGACAACTACTGGCCCATGGCTTTATTTTGCTATCGTCCTTCAGAAGAGTCACGGCTCATTCGAGAATTTCAGGGACTCCAGGTTCTGACCCCAAACCTTTCTCCAGCTTTATCTGTCATTATTTCCACATACACTTCTATCTTAGAGATGCTGTAAACCTGTCTTTTCTGCTTCTGTCTACTTATTTAATTTAATCCATCCTTCAAAGGCCATCTCAATTCTCCTCTCCCCAGATTATCTCAGTGTCCTCTAAACTCCTTTAGTGCCATTCAGCTGGAAACTAATGATTCATTGGTTGCTAAATGATAGCTCTGTTAGTATCTGAGACTGTTATTCAATCCATTAATTTAAAAATATGATTTGGCCATTTCATGTTTTAGAGTCAGTTCTTCCCAAATAGTGTGAAAGTTTCCCTAGGGCAAGGGCCAGTATTTACTTGTATGTATCATTGTGACAGGTACTTAAAAAATATTTGACAATTTGTAACAAAATCTTCTAGAAGTTTCAGTAAGATGAGCTTAATATGAAGACTTTAACAGGTGGCATGAAGTAAGCATATTTGGAGGAGGTAGTGAGAACAAAGGGGCTTCCCAGGTGGTGCTAGAGGTAAAGAACCCACTGGCCAATTCAGGAGACATAAGAGACTCAGCTTCAATCCCTGTGTTGCGAAGATCCCCTGCAGGAGGGCATGACAACCCACTCTAGTATTCTTGCCTAGAGAATCCCCATGGACAAAGGAGCCTGGTGGGCTGCAGTCCAAAGAGTCAGACATGACTGAAGCAGCTGAGCATGCAAGCAAGCAGTAAGGATAAAACTGCTGAAGAGAGTTAATGGGTGTTATGATCTGAGTCATAATATGACTAAATTATGACTTACATGATTAAATCGTAGCATGACATGACTTCATTTTTGACATGAGAGGGGTCATAAGACAGTAATATATTGTTTTGAGTATGTGATTGGTGTTTTTATCTGCTATTTCATTTCTTTCTCACCACTGTCTAAAAAGCAGAAATTATTTTTCCCATCTCACTGATGAGGCAACTGAGACTCAGAAGTCTTAGTTAGACTGTTACTCACGTAAGGAAATTAAGTACTGCAGGCTATGCAATAACACTGGTCCTTGAATTTCAAATCCAGTTTTAACTTCTGTGTGGTAGCCAGAAAGAATCCAGGTTTCCTAATTTCTAGCAGGTAATATTTGTAATTCAGTTCACTTCTCTGGGCTCAATTTCCTCAGCTGCCACATGAAGGGGTTTGCAGAGATCCCTTCTAGTCTATTCTAAACCAGTCTTGTCAATTCCAGTATAAGTAGGAGAAGGAATCCCCCTGGGAGGTGCTTTGGGATTATCACGACCACTCTCAAACGTAGAGTGAAGTGGGCTGCGGGTGAGTTATACCTCTCTCTATGTCTGTCTGTCTCTTTGTCACACCTGTTTATTCTCTCTAAACCTCTTTCTTCAGTCTCTTAGACTGACTTACAGTCTGCCTGGACCACTTAAGATCATTCTTAATGACAGTCATTACACAGTTCTTCCACACTGCCTGAGGCCATTTCCGCAGCAATAAGCAGGAAAGACCCTGTCCCCTTTCACAGCTGGGCTCAGTATGCCAACTTCACTGGAACCAAGAAGTTTTTCAAAAACTCTCCATTAATTACAGGAAACCAAAAGCACTGTCCCCCCTTCTCATTAACACAATTGCTTTCAGTTGCCACTAAATTATCTCACCACCATTAAACTAACAATCTAATTAGACTTCTGGAAATGGAAAGAGCCAATGAATAAGGCAGGCGTGTCACTTTCATCTCAAAACTGATCGTAAAATATTTGTGCCCTTTTGTTCTCGGCCACATAAAATCTGCCCTGGAAGGGTGTCCTTTCATTCTCTCCTATTTATAAAGAGGAGTTTGAATATTTGATATAAAATGAGTATCTTAATAGGAATCACTTCATGTGTGGGAGGTTTTCTTTCCCGCATGTCTGAGTGTGGGATCA